GCTTGCTACTTTGGGGCATGTCAATTTTATACATAAAATCACTAGTTGCTATAGAAAGTGTACTTATGAATATATATAACACCTAAAAAACAAACTTAACACGTAAGTTAACCGCACCGTCTCAGGCCCCACATTGACTGACTAAAGTTGACCTCAATTGACTAATTTATATAATGGCGCCAACGCGGTATAGTGGGGAGAAATTGCTCGTTTTCAGAAAATCGCAAAATATTCTACAGAAATTTTGAAAACTTGAAACTTCAGGGAATAATTGCCTATAGCCTTTGCTTAGTCCCCATATATTTGTTATAAATCAAAATTCTTGCGTTATGGTAGGTGTCACTTTTAAAGTTGGGGCGAAATCGTGAGCGTATTTTACCACAGCGGTTCCTATTTTCTAATTTACGAAAATATTTCATTGAAACCACTCTAAAAAATTACATATTCGGCAAGGATGAGATACTAACCTGTTGTGTAGCAAAAATCAGGAAGCTGCGTTGGCCGGTTTTGCTTAAATCGCGGTTTCAATATGACCACAAGTCACAGGGGAAATTTGCCGGGAACAGAGTGATACAAATGTACTGGTCTGGAATTTCGAATTAGAATACTGTATAAATTATGTTAATGAGGCTTTGGCTGGCTAACTGTCATGGCGATTGACACGTTTGCTCATCTGTTGTTAATGTAGGGCGCCCCCTTGCGGCGATAACGTAATTTGCTTTGGTAAATTTGCAGTAGCGTAAAACTGTGAATCCTCGGGGCGGACATCCGGGCATTTTCTACCGCCAGACAACCCTCGCGGTGAAAACAAAGACCAACAACTCGCAGAAAACGGTACTTTGCGATGGTTGTTGAGATTCCCCTGAACAGTGAAATAAGATTAGTCCTACGTGTGTAACTTATATGAATTTGGTTATTCAGAATTATTTCAAAGTTGAGTTTGTGTTGTTTTCTCGAGTTTTCACCGGCTCCACCGGCGTTCCACAGCAGCGCGCACAAAGCCCATAGAAATACGTGGTACAGTGGTGCGCGTCTTAGCAACGTAGAACGTCCGTGACGTAGCTCCGCCCCCGAGGATAGGTGATTTTCCGTACAATTGGGAGATCTCGCGAGATGCATGAAAGACGCGCGTCGAACGTCTGTGCCGCAAAAATCGAACGATTTGATTTTGAACTAGAATTTCTTTATTTCGTAGCTTACATTGACCGGCCGATCTTCGACAGAGGAATATTGCTTCCGAATACCCTTACTTAATCGAAATTGCCTATCATCAAATGTGGACAGCACATTATTAAGCATGGAAATGTCCCCGAAATACTTTCGCGTTTGT